GTTCGATTAGGACTTGATATCACAATTGGAAAACAAAGTGTCTTTGACCGAGACGCGCTGCGCTGAGCTGGCCATGGAGGTAGATGAGTTGACAGCCCATGTGAAGGTAACGCTTCAAATCCAAATCAAACTACCCCACCCACCCCCACCCCCACCCCCCCCTTCCTCTCTCCTTTTCCTTAAACTGGCTTCTTATGTAGGCCCAGCAGGTTAGCTTGCATGTCCGGGGAGGGAAGGGGTGGGGGGAGAGAGAACGATTGGGTGAGCCACTAGCGATGACATTTTCGGTTTGCTAAAGTATGATTACCTACCCCACAGGTGTTGTTGCAGCTTTAGATCAGATTTCTTTTCATGTCTAAGGAAGATTTGACTTAGATGAAGATAACTGGTATTTCACATGAGCGTAGGAAGGAAAAAAAACGTGTGTCCTTCCCATAGGTACTCGCACTTCAGACCTTGAGATACAGGGAACTCGTTTCTGAGTTACCCTCTGAAATAGGTCCGTTTGCAAAAGGATTCTTTGATTTTCAAGCGCTAAATCTGTTCTGTGATTGCCTGGTGATGCTAGCTCCATATTTTTACTTCAAAACAGGAACAGAACACTGCAGTTGAAGGCTGGAATGAACAAATATCACAGCTAACATCTGAACGTGATCAGCTGAAGGACTCGCTGGAAGAAGTTACCAAGGTGATAGCCATTAACAATTTCGACGACTTGTTCTCTATTTTAGCATAGGAAACTTGTTAACGACGTTTGTTAAAAAAAGCCTTGCTGAAATTCAATTTTTCCTTAAACCCTTAACAATTCCTTGGCAGTTGTCAGAGCTAAGGTAATTTGGTCCATCAAGTTGTGCCCTCCCGGGTTCAAAATCTAGTTTATCATTCGTTCTAGTAATATTTCCGATTTAAGGCAGCTGCAGATTTTTTTGCGCGGAAACGGGAAAAATAGAGAAGAGAACGACAGCGAAAATTAAGATAAGCCGTAAGAGAAGCAATTAAATCGCTAAATCAAGGAGGAGTGGTCTAGAAAGACCCGAGGATATTATCCTTTTCAATTTTTCAGTGTCTGACGAACTTTAGGAGGAAAAATGTGTCATATCCTTCCTTTCAAACTACCTTGTGGAAAACCTGTGCATGAAAACTGCTTAGCTAATGTAAACGTGACTTGTTTTTATGGTTACACTGCTTTCTAGGTCGCCAAAAGTCGTAAAGAATTGGTTGACACGATGGCCATCGAGAAACAAACGACAGACGCGAACCACAAAGAGCAATTGGACAAGTTACAAGAGGATTATAAGGTTTGGTTTATGCAAATAGAGAGAATGGACTGCATAAGTGAAGCAAAACATACAAAAGAAACTTAGATGAACAAGTTGAACTTGTTTGAATCTAACCTGATTTTTTTGTTGTTTTGCGCAGAAAGAAATTAACGAACTTAGAGAGCTTCTGACGGGAGAGAAGGTAATGTGACTAGTTTCTAACTATTTATTAATCATTTTTAAGGCACTTCTTTGATTTAACATGGAATTGTACCACATCGTATCAATAGCAAGAAAGATGAAATTGCTAACGAATATTGGTAAATCTGCTTTTGGTCTTCGCTTAATCCAGAGGAAGTGTTCATGACGTCTTCAGGTGTTCTCGGCACTCTGAGTCGTTCTCAAAAATAGGTTTCGGAAATCTTTTAGTAAAACTTTGGAATCTCTACGTATCTTCAAACGTTCCGTCAGAATTCATGCTTGTCAGATAAAAAGAAAAGGGATGACAGAGTATTTATTTTCTTGGCCAAACAGAATCTGATTCCCTTCCTTCTATAATTGATAATTTTTTAAGCGTTTCTGCGTGGAAAAATGTACGCAGAGCGGTAACTGCACAGTATCTTAGAGCTTGAAAATCTCGTGGTCTAAAGTAAATAAGCCCGATTCAATCCTTCAAACATCAACTCTCGATCCAGGTCAATGCAGATCGCCAGGAACTTTATCTGGTTATGGCAGGCAGCTTCCAAAAAAAGTCATTGTTATGAAAATCAGACCCAGTTTTGAAGTTAACTGTCATGTGAGAAATCGCCTGATGCATACTCGCACAAAATAAAAATCAGAAATGATGAGGAAAAGAACAACATCTTTGTCTTCTCGGAGGCATTTAAGCGTGGATATATCACAAAAAAGGGTAATTTGGTTTTATCAACTGAGTTGATAACGTAAATTGGCCACCGTAAAGAGTTTCAAACCTGGCGTTTCTAGCGTTATCTCTTCCTCCATTCGCTCCGATATAGGACTAACGCTCGAAACGTCAGCTTTGAAACTCCTTACGGTGGCCAATTTACGTTATGAACTCAGTTGATAATACTAAATTACCCTGTTATACTCTCCCCCGACGCAGCATCTTTAGAAAGTTTCTTTAGAAACTTAACTCCTTTATATCACAAAACATTTTGAATTTTAATAATCGATCCTCGGTGAAGCCAACGTTCCCTGGTTGATGATTTCCATAGATTCTCACTACTCTTTGCCTGTAAATGGTTATACTATTTTTTGAGAATCTGAAATTTAACGTTGTCGCATTGACAAACCCTGTCGTTGCATTCTCAGAAACTTCGCAAAGAAGTTGAAGACTCACAACAGAAGTTAGCAGAAACCAAGGCTAAATTACAGTCTGTAGAGAGCAAAAGTGGATGGTTTGAGAGAAGACTTGCTGAAACTGAGGTATTTTAATTCCTAACCCTTTCACGAACCTTTAACTTTAACCTTTTCTGCGAGATCCCAGTCTTAATCCTCCCTTTTAGCTATCAAACATTTCCTTGTAGATTAGAAAGGAGAATTTTGAGGTACATTGTGATGGCAACTTGCAGCTGTTACATTTGTCTATACCTCTTACCTATCGTGTGTGAGGTCTGTTACGGACCGAGTATTTCCGCCCCAATTGGCTATAAATCTGAGCGGAAATAACGAGGTTCCGTGACTTACATGTGCAGTACTGACTGAGGAAACGAGTCAGTAAGATATTTAATATATCTCTGGCTTCAGATAGAATGGAAGATTTCAATGTAAACAAACTTTTAAATTTAGCCAAGATGTTTTGGCTTTGCGGTGATCCTAATCTGTTTTTCTCCACCTTAGGAAAACTTGAAGGCAGAGAAAGAAAGAAATGAGCAAACACTGGCCAATCTGCAAGCGGAACGTGATGAGGAACTTAAATCTTTGCAAGAAGAGAGAGAGAGAGGGGAAGAGGTGAGTCTATCACCAATGCTTCGCAAGCGAGCTGAGCCCAGGGGCTACTGGGAAGGAGTTTTAAGAAAACTTGGCATCGTGTTTGTCTCCAGACTCCCAAATTAATGGTTTTATTTAGATCAAATAACCCAAACTTAATTTATATCATTTTGTTCTATTTTTTAATCGTACAGGGATTTCAGTCTCAGATCAGTGGGTTACAGGAGGAAATGGAGGAAAAGGAACAGGAAATGGAAAAATTACGACATGAACTGAAGGATAAAGAAGTTGAAAACAAAATTGCCGGCAAGAAAGGAGATCAGCTGGTGAGAACCAGTTTGTTTGTGCAATTTCTTTCTTTGTTTCAGTAATTTAATTTTAGCACTGTTTTGGAATCTTGAACCCAAAGAGATGACCCCTGGTGGCAGACTACAATTTCGGTAAAAGCAGAGAAGAAGGCTTGGTGGGGATTCGACTGAATTCGAACCCATGCCTTCCAGTTACAAGTGGGTCTCTACTGCCAACTGAGATACGAAGCTACTACACATTGGGAGCGGGGCACATGTTAGAGGGTCTAATCACAATTAGGAAAGTCACAATTTTTTTTTCTTGTTCTTGTTGAAGGTTAAGGACCTGAAGCGTCAGCTCAAACTGGAGAGGAAAAGAGGCGAGCAGTTACAGCAAAAATTACAAGAAGCTTTATCAGAAAACAGAGTCAAGCCAGGTGAGAACTGAGCCAATCACCAGAAATTTGATTTCGCAGAATAAATTCCTCGTCTAGAATCTGTATCTGGGAGGATTGCAACTACTTCATTGCCAAGGCACTGTGACGCAAATTGTAATCAAGAGTGCCAATTCCTTTTTTCTCTCCTATTTATTATTACCTATGTATTTAAAATATACTTTAAATTATTTATTTACCTATTTTTTTTCAATGATCTACTCACAAGATTTCTTTAGTTGCCAATTTCTTTCCAGTTCGTTCGCCTACTGTGACAATGGTGTGAAAAGAAATTGCATTTCGGTGCATGAATTCAACACGAAGCTAACGGTTTGTGTTCTTTTTCTTCAAGCATTTGAGGATATGTTTGTTGGCAGGGAACATCAACGGCGAAATAGCGGGTGAGTTTACAGTCGGCTGATTTTATTTCACAGAAGAACTAAAACGCTCGCTTCGCTTAATTTCTAGCTGCGCTTATTTCCTATGAGTGTGTGTTGATTTTACTTGTTCTACCTTTTTTTTTCTTCGTTTCCACACTGCATTTAGTGCAAACCTTTTCGAGCAATTTTCAATCGAGTGTTGAAAATAATCCGGGACTTTTATGGTTTTGCTATGTGTTACCCTGTGATTGGTCCAGAAAACTCGTGCCATTCTCTCGGCTAATCAGATGCAAAACTATCACCAATCACGACCTGGTCCCCCGCGTTTTCCCGCGCTTTGTGCGGTTGGCTAGTTTTTACTTTGAGTTCCTCCATTGGCTCTTCAGGGTATTTTCAAAGCTGTTATTTTTACAGCAAAGTTTATTCTGAAATTTCATTGTTATTTTCTAGTGATTCATCAATTGTTAGTCAACCATCAAGAAGTGAAGTGGACAGCCCGGAATTTAGGGTACGGTTAAATGTATGGATTGAGTGCGCAGATACCAAGAGTGATCCAGTTACGGTCGAAGGGTTACTGTACTAGTTTTTTTCTTTTTCAAATTTTTGGTGTTGTTGTTGTTGTTGTCTTTTCAATTTAACAAATATACAACTGCTTAATGTTAAGCCCAGGTTTCAGAATGACGAGGGATTGAAAAGCTTGACATAGAGTAGGTAGCGAACAATGACTTGAAACGTAAAGTGTATTACATTCGACAACAACCACCACTTCTCTTCAATGCATTATCTTTTGATGATATTCTTTAGCCCCCAAGCCCCGCTGCGTCCATGATCAGTATGCTTAACGACGATACCACTGACCTGATAGAGCGACTCGCGGACGTTCAGCAAGATAAGTGGCTCCTCGAGGAAAAGGTTTGTATTGAAGAGCCTTAAGTACACATTTTTATCGGGTATCGTACATGTCTAACAACCCACGTGTGAGGCCAGGCTGCCGAGTTTTTTTCAAAATGGCGGCTTCCATGGATGAATGTTCAGCACATCTTAGGACAATTGTCGAATGCTTATGTTGCGTTTTTGATCTGAAAACGCAGTTATCAATGTCAAAATTTCACTTATTCCTTGTTATGGCCGATAAAAAATAAACAGTTTAGGACGTACCTCTCGTTGAAGTTTGGAAAAAATTTTAAGGAGAGGTATGTATGGATTACAATGTGTCTGTCGTCTCGGTGAGCAAAAACTGATGAAAAATCTTTCTGATCATTTTTGCGTGTTTTTTTTTTCTTTTATTCTCAAATGACTGAAAACAATTTACGAGGTAGTAAACTGAACGGTTCACAACACGTTCACATTCTTTTTTTAGCATAATTTATACTCCTATGTTCATTTTTATGCAGGTAGTGTTTGAAAACACGAAACTCGCTCGAAACTACGGAAAACTTCCACGAAGCAAACTCAAGTTGTGATTTGTTTAATAATTTGCAAAAAAAGAACTCCTTATTTCTTTTTTTTCTTTCTTTTTTTTTTTGCTCTGTAGACTTGTAAACTTTTTCAAAGAATTTAAATTGTTTTCTTTTAGTTCATCGGCTTTGTACTACAATTTTTTTCCTTCATCTAAGAATCTTCAGCTTTTTCATGATTTCTCTTGCAGGTTCGCCATCTTGAAGAAAATGGAGCAGCGCTAGCGGATGATCTATTAAAAAAATCAGCCATAATTCAGGCATACGCCATGGAAACTAAAGTCGGTAAGGTTATTCGGACGACCCAGTTACTCTACTGTAGAAGAACAAGACCTAGTTACGTCACATGTAAGTGGCCTGGTTGATAAGCAAGATTCAAAATGGCGGCGTCTGTAATAGACCTTTTCATCTACCTGGAAAGGCGCTCAGAAACCTAATTCTATATAAAAGATTAAATCAAAATGATATCGTTTCTGAAGGATATCTTTTTTTTTAAACTTTTATTCTCTTGTATCATTTGGTTTTAATATATTTATATTTATGTGTATTTATTTGTCTTTTCCAGGTCCTATAGCGGAGTCTCCAGCGAAATCATCCCCAGCCGCTTCGATTTCTACTTTAAAAGAGAAGATTCGGTCTCCTTTTGGTAAAGCTAAGCCTGAGAACACCAGAAAAATACAGCTGATGCTGGAGGAGACACTGACAAAGAACATTCAATTACAGCGGGTAAGAGGTCCCATAAGTACCTGTAAATTGTTTGTTCTCTTTCGTTATTGGTGCGCTTTTCGATTAAGTGTCATAAAAGCAATACCAAAATAATCACAACCGCCAATCAGAAGAGAGGAAAATGCCTTTAAGAGCCAATGAGAACTCAAAGTAAAACACCCAACAAACTGCCTAAAGCGCGGGAAAACGCGGGCGACCAAGTCGTGTTTGGATATAGTTATTCTTCTGATTGGTTGAAAGAGTGGCGCGAGTTTTGTGAACCAATCACAGATCGAAGTGAATCAAAAACAAAGGATTCCTTGAACATTGAACTGAAAAGTGCTCACAAATTATCACTTTTCTCTTTCTTAGGACGTGGACTCAATGTCTAAAGAACTTCAAAGATTCAAACAACAAGAAGTGATTCCACCGGAACTCAATGAAACTTCGGATTCAGTGTTGGATTCAAGTCTATGGAAAGCCACAGAGGAAGAAGAATCTGAATTGAGTTAGCAATTTTTAACTGATTTAATTTTAGGTTTAAGACACTTTTGTCGAGTGCAGTGAACCTTGGGTTGCGCTGACCCCACTGAGCTGTTAACTCCTTCACTCACATGAGTGACCAAGACAGCATTTCTCCTTACTATATCAATGCAATATCAAGCAGAAAAGTGATGAAAATAAAGCAGAATATCAACAAGGGGATCGTTAGTTGATCCAATATTAAATTCTTCGAACTAACATCATAAGAATTGTATGGCTGTCAGTAAGGAGAAATACTCATGAGATCTTTGGAGTGAAAGGATTGGTACAACTTGTCATCTTATCACAGGCTTGATAGTCAGTTGTTAAGTCACAAACAGTTTGTCCGGGAACAGTGTCACAGATAGACATGTGTGCTTATAATGGGGCCAGTTTGATCAGGTAAAGAGAAACTTTCTTACAGAAGTTCTCCGCAGTAGATTATGGATGATACTCAAATGTCGCACTAAACCGTCCTTTTAATAAAAATGTTATGAAATAAAAGAGCTTACTCGAACATTGAAGTCAGCGACCGCTAAAAAGAGTTCTCCAATGGATACAGGGTTATTTACCATAAATATGGGGAAAAATTGGTGCAGGGTTTTAACTTAACTTGGGGTCCTATCACTACGGGTTTCTTATCAAATCTCTTTAGTATCACCAATATACAAATATATATTTAATAGATCTTTTAAAGAGATTTAGATTTATATTTCTCTAAAAATGAATCATCGAGTAGTGTTCTTTCTCACGAGAAGCGAAGTAAATTCGCTCGATTGTAAAATGAAAGGAAATCTTTGGTACTGTTCAAGCGCTCGGTTGATAAACATTGTAGTGACAATTTTTAGAGCAAATGCAAATAGCATCTTTGGGGGGAAATTATAGATATTACGCCTATTATTTTAACAAGATATGTAAACTAGTATTGCTAGTTTTTTTTTCAACTTTTTTTCAATATTTCTAATGGCCTATGTACGTGCGTGTTCTATCGAGAAAGGTACGGTTTGTAAATACAGCTATTCAATGAACTCAAGAAAAGCATTGTAAAGAGTGAAGTAAGCTTCTGTATTCTGGCAAACGAGTAGATCGAAAGCTTGGCATTATGCGATATGCCGATGTTTACTTCATTAAATAAGATATAGGAACTTAGAAGACCTATATCTCAAGTACCTTTATCATACTTACTCACGTCCGATAAGTCAAAATAAACACGAAAATCTGATGCATTTATACGTGTTATTCCACGCGTAATGCGTCAAAGGAAGGTTGAGAGGTTTATAATAAACGAACTTGAAAGGAGTTTAAGCGTGGAATGGAAATTATAAAGTTTTGAGACTTTCACTGCTACTGTGTTTGTCGATACACCATTTTGATGCCTTTCAAAGACAAGTTTGACGTATTTTGCGCAGCAGAGGAATAAACGTTTCATAAAAGGTGCAGAGGGAAACGATATTTTTAAATTAGGTGAGCTGTGTACTACAAGTGAAGTATTGTTCTTCTTAGAATCTTAATCGTAATATTTGTTATTAAATTTTACAAGTTCAACGAAACTCTCATTCAAATCGTTGAAATGTAATCGATTCGTGCAATCCAACCAGCACGGCGATGAACAAATTTGTAGATAATGTAGATAAATTTACTTAAAAAGTCCCTTGTTCTACTTTGCTCGCCATTAATGCCTAGGTAAACAAATCTGCCCCAGAATAAATTAAACAATCAGGTAAATGTTGGTCTCTCTGTTTTACTAATTTGGTGATACAATTTAGCAGATATACCCCTAGCCGTTTCTTTCGTTCTCTTGTGTGTGGTTGCCGCGTTGGATTAGCCTTGGTGCCTTCGAGAAACTTCCCTAACATTATAAAAAATAACTTGGGGTTAGATCTTGGAGGAAAGCAGAAGGACTTGCAATCGTAAATTCTTGTCCGGAAGTTTTGTCCTTTCGAAGCAAGAACGAAAGTTAAATGGCCGTGAACCCTACTGCTAACTCCACGCTTACGAAGAAGAAGGCGCCATCTAACTGAAAAGATTCAAAACAAGATAAACTTGATAGCTGTCTTAGTCATTGTCACGTTTCAACATGTCGAATTGTGTTACACGATAGTCTTTAGTTACGTGACTTTTCAAACGGAGGGTTTCGATTGATGGAATGAACTTGTCACGCAACTTACGATTTCTACGTTACCTATTTACAGTGGCTATAAAACATTCATATATATTTGTGATAGGAAAGTCCCTTTTTCGGGCCTCGACAGTCTCATAAATGAACAGGGATTTGCCGGGAACAGCTGGCTTCACAGGTTACTCTACCGAAGACAACAGCCGTTCTCTCATGATCGCCAAATTCCTATGCCCGATGTCGGCCATAAGCGGGAACTTCGAGAATGGCGACGAAGACGTGTCTTTGTTATCGGGATTTCGGTAAGTAGACGTTCAGAGATTAATTCTTCGTCAGTAAAATCAGTATCATCGTATTTTCTCTGTGTGATATGACTTGCTAATGCCGATAATTAACCACAAAAGCGCGAATCTTCACCAGTTAAAATCTTAGAACCTTCATCATGTCGTTGTGAGCCTTGTCTCAGGGTTTTTACATGTGAAAATCAAAGTGTGCTGTTGACTCGTAGAAGATAAGCTGCGTTAATTTTTAAAGCGATATGTTTAAATTATTCAACAAAGTTTTCCAGAAGAATGGTGATTCGATAATGCACTAACCAAAACATGAAAAAAAAATTGCAGTTTATTTAACATACTACGGTATGGTTAGAACATGAACTCACATTCGAAGTAATGATAACGCGTGTTTTAATATGATGCGCCGTGACGTGAAACTTCGACATTTTATCGCCGAGCTATAGAGGAAGAGTTGTGTGTCCAACCGATAAAGAATAGTAAACGCAGAAGACAGCTTTTAGATTTGTATGACAACAATAATTTGCGGCATCGTGAACTGGATGCACCATGGTGTTTTGTTGAGTAACACGTGATTTTTGTGATGAGTTGAACTCTGTTTTAAAAGGTGCCGGCGTTGTGACCGATCATATCTGGTTTCATGCAAAATTTGTCTCTTGGTGTACGTATCTGAGAATAATTATGAACATGGTTTTGCGCATAGGAGTATGGGAAAAATTCATTTGTACTTCGCTTTTGTAAGTAGATGATGTTTTACGAAAAGAGCTGAGAGCTCTTAGCCGGCTTTGAAGATTTTCGGATAGATAAACCAGGGAAAATAAGCTAGCGAATCTTTTCATTTACTTATACTCTGATAGACTGGTTCGGCATCCAGCCGGAATGGACTATATATGATCAAAATGATAGCTGGTAGGTACCAGGGATGCCGTTGGGGTAAAATGTCATCTCCCTCCCCACCCCCTCACTCACAAATCCGTATAACGATATGATGATTTGAATTTCACTGATAACACTTCCAAATCTACTCTTTTGCTTGTTAATCGGAAAATGGAAAACTAATCTTGGCATGCAAAATGAATTATTTCTACGACAGGAACAGAGTTCGCAGAAGGCTGATATGGCTAGAAATAGATCTGTCTTTTTGAAAGAAAGGAGAACGAGCTAGCAATGCTGAGTATCCAGTCTTCTGAAGTAGAGAATTGCGTTCATGTTTCAGAAAGCCTGCACTGATTCTTTTAGGTGTTTTAAAACAATTCTGTTAGAAAATTTCATCTTCTTAATAATTTTAATCTCTGCGCATATTTTTTTAAGTTACATCTTGTTTAGTTCCATCATTTTCTCTATATGGAACTATGAGGTGATGAAAATATTTGTATTGTAATAATCATACAGTTGCTACAAAGTGCTCGTCAAATTTTCAACCGGAAGTGAAGCCTCAAAGTGAGCCTGCGACATAAATACCAGTTGTCAGCGGATATTGTCATCGCCACATAGAATGGAGGGCGATTCAGGAACTCGGTCGACCATATTGTGACTTCGTGATATAGACGACAAAAATTATCAGGATACTGTTTGTTTTTTCTCGACCTTCCCCGCTTTTAACGAGATCAAATCCTTTTATCACTGATTTATGATGGGTGGATAGTCGAATTTTATCCCAAACATGAGCGAAGCGGCCAAAGAGCGTGTTATAGCGCTCGGAACTCAGTTCAACACGATGGAACATTCTGCTTCAGAAGATCCAACTCTTGTGACTTTTGAAACGGGTAGTCCGAAAAAATCCTTTTGGAAAAGAAACACGAGTAAATTACCAGGAAGGTAACGTTATTTTCCGTCGATTAAGTGCCATGTTTGAAGCCCTTTTATTGATTTAATGTACTTTCTAAACAGTATAAAACCCGCACATGGGACTCAAGACTTGTTGTCTTCGAGCGTTTTGCCAAGTGCCAACCAGACTTCCAGGTACGTTTAGTCTATAACGTCTGCTCATGATGGTGTGATAAAGTTAGTTATCAAAGAAGTTGCGTGTGTATACTTCCTTCTAGCACTCTGTAGAGTTGTTGAATACCAAACTTTCATCCGTTCTGAGATCCTAGGGAAAGTTGAACGACTGTGTTTACATTAAATTAAAATCTTGTTGAAAAGTTGTGTCGGTTAGTCTTTTGAAATGATCACGATGTTTTCTTTCTCCTATTTTGCCAAGAGTGTGGTTATTTTTTTAAATCGGCCGAGTCAATTAATGAATCTAACAGGCGATCTTCGTTCAGTCGTGGTTCATTCTAATTTTTGAATATATAATTTGCTTACCACTGCACTAATTGCGGAAAATTTTTAATAAACTTATTTAAGAATTCCTTGGTTGAATTTCACTTTATCTTTTGTACAATAACGTATCAAATTTCTTTCATTACGGAACAGAAAATAACGCATTTGAATCCAAATAGTCCCTAGTATTGATTTTAGAATTTGATCTATCGCGAGATTATCCAGGAAGCCTTTCTGTTATTTTTATAATCATCGTTATGTGAGATCATTGAAAAGAGGATTGGTTTAAAAAGGAAAGATTAATCGGACTTACAAAGGTGTCCTACTGCGTATGACAAAAGATTTTCATAAATAACTCGTATTAAAGAGATCAGACTTAAATCTATATTGGTTTAGGCACTTCAATACGTATTCGTGTAATTAAATAACAATATATGAATACGCCAGCAAATAATGTTTAAATTTATCGAATGCTTATTGGGCAGAAAGTTTATGCTCTTAATGATAATAGGTAGATTAAATCTGGTGGTCATTAAAAGTGTAGTAATTTCTAAGTTAAATTAAGGATTGAGAATCTCTACATAACCTTAGGATTATTACAACAATTTAATTCCTTGACTTACCAGAACTCGGCTAAGCTTTTCATGCAACTTAAGCAAAATTTTATCAAAAGGTTTGCCAAATATCTATGGTTAAAACACTCAGTTTTATGAGTGATGTCAGGCACTTGGTACATCAAGCTTTTTCTTAACATAATATTTTTGCTGTGAATATCTAAGAACCATTTCTTCCTTTTGTCTCCCAACATTTTATTTTCATATAGCATTTGATGATGAATCAAGCAGTGTTGTATAAAATATGGTTTCATTCCTTCTCATCATGCTAGTAGAATGAAGGCTACTCTCTCACAGATATTTTGTTGTGTTTTTCTGGAAGTCTCTGAGTGCACATTTATATACCAAAGGGAAGATAGGAACTCTGAAAATAAATAATTATGCACAAGGACTGATCATAATGGTGCAAGAACTCAGGCCTTTTTAAAAATTAGCACAGGGAACCTAAGGAATCAGTTGTTAGGCCACAGGGTAATCATAATCATTACAAATTCATCAAATATTATTGGTGCATAGTGCAGCTTCACTTTTCACTAATCATTCTGTACAGTTGTCTGTACAGTTGTAATCAGACAGTATAATTGGACAATTGAAGCATCCACTCAGCTAATCCACCAATCACAGAAATGATCAAAATAATCGTAGCAACAACCACTTAGCCAAAGAAAAACTGGGAAATTTCCAAAATAAAGGTCATGGAATTATTAACAAAAGACATTGTCTCCACTGCAGTTATTT